GAGGCCAGTTTTACCAAAAAATACCAGCCGGCCGCCGAAATAAAATATCCAGCCGAAAAAATAGACGCCACACAGCCACGAGTTTCACCAACAAAAAATTCCAGCCGACTTCGGACGGAAATTATTTGTCGCCGGTAGTCAGCTGATATTCTGTTACGATATCAAATTACGATATGTCAAGGAGGTTAATAAATCATTTAAAGCATGTTTTCAATCAAATTGAAGCGTGATTTCTAATGCAAATGCTATATACATTTGGAAATATTGTTATCGTAAATTATTACATTATTTTCAAGAGTACCTAATAACAACAAAGTAGACCATTATAAACTTTCATATCTATATTAACATTCTGGTGCCCAGCAAAAGCCAATCAATACAAAACTACCAAATTGTAAACGTAGGCACGTCATTCATAAAGGTGACTTAAGGAAGCTTGCATTTAAGGCAAATTTAAGATGGATCTTTTTTCCTGTCAGCCTATTATATTAATTTTTACAATACCTTCAACTTGTTATGTACCTTTTTGCCTGTTTTTAGTCGCACCTTGTAGAAAATCATCGTGTAGACCGAGAACGCAATGTGTGGACCTCCAGCTATGAGGTGGGGACTAGATGAGACCCACTCCAGTGGCAGCGGAACACCTTCAATTAAGGGGGCACTGCCGACTTTGGTCCCATTCTTTCCATGCAACGCCCATAGGGCTAATATTAAAATGTCAAAATCAAAGGGGGGCACGGTGCCCCGGTGCCCTACCCGTTCCGCCGCCTATGAGTCCCGCTCCCGACAGATCCGGGAGCCGCACCTCTTTCCTAGCTTTCAAAAGAGCGGCAAATAAGCGGTCAGCATTGCTCCCAGAGACGCCACCTGAAGCTGGACGGACGACGGACAGTTCCGCTGCCGAGCGATTGAAGTTGAACTGCGGTGCTACGAGGCGGCTTCGCGTGCACTGCATTAGCACCTTCTAGCGGGAGTAAGAGGGCTAACGAACTCGCCAAGGCCTATATATGTAAAGCATTGTGCAAAGGCGAGTGTCTTACCTTAGGAAAATACCTACCCAGATTAACTGCTGCACCGCGGTCATTGCAGGGCTGAGGGTACGTCGTTCGCTCCGCTTCGGCGAGGTGGAGGTCAGACTGCCCGGCTAGGTGGTTTTAGCCGATATGCAGGCCCCGTTTGCCGGGCCCGGTCGAGCAGAAGGAACGCCACACAGCAAAGAATATTTGCTCCAGGCCCGCTACACTGGTCCGGCTCGTAAGTCGTAACAAATTAACAATACCTGCGCTAGCGTCGTCGACCGTCGTTCGACTGCGCCCAGTACCGCTCAGTGGAGAGTCCTGCCGAACTCCTCTGCGTATGCCCAGATCATTCGTTGCGCGCGGACACAATCGTCCGACGGAGACCGCTGTGCATTATGATCGGGTGGTCACCACCTTGGTCGCCGGCTTTCACACCCAGCCGAGCCGTCTGGCTACGCCCCAAATGATCGTCTAAGCCTTTCGATTGGTTTGTAACTCGGGTCTAATATCGAAATGTTTGGGAGTTAGGACATGTTAAATCCGTGTTCATGAACAAACATACATTATGCAACTAAAACGCTTTACTTACTTTAACTTTTCTAGGCTGATGACAAGGCATACATCTATTTCATTGCAATATTTCTAAAATGTAAATAAATCATGAGCAATGAGCATAAAAAAACAACAGCGATCCACTAGAAGCTAGTGTGGAAATCCACTGACGTAGGTCGCCTCGTACTGGCGCAGCTCGTAGCTCGTCCAGCAGCGCCAGCGTCTCCCGCACCCGCCCGCCCGCCTGCACCATCAGCCGCTGGAAATTGCTGCGCTGCCGCTCCAACATTAGCTTGACCGCCTGGCCGGCCCGGCGGATGCGCGCCGTCCTACGCACGCAGTGTACGTCTTCAACCGCGCCGGGATGTCGTACGACACGACCGCGTCCACGGCGTCCACGTCAATACCGCGCGCTATAGCCTCGAGCACACCAGCGCGGCCATCTCAGCTAGCGCGCGCCGCCGCCGGCACGCCGGCACTACCCCACAGAACTCAGTCACGCGCGCGCCCAGCACAGACAGCGGTAGCTCCAGCTGGTGCGCCACCTCGTTCCAGTTGACCAACACGAGCGAGCGTCGCCAGTCGGGCTGTCGGAGCAAATGGTGCATCAGCAGCGGCTTCAGCGGCTGCGGCGCCACCACGTTGAACGACTCGCTCAGCTCGGCCGGCGTGGTGAACCTGCCGACGAACTGACCGGGCAGTGCGACGGCGGCGGCCGCCGTGCCGACCACCAGCAGTCGCGGCTGGAACAGCGACATTCGCTCCAGCTTCTCCGGCCTCCGGGTTCTGTGACAGGGTGGCGAAGAATGGCAGCTTCTGAAGCGGCAGGTGAGGCGCGCAGACGGCGGCGGCCGTCAGCCGGCCGGCGATGCAGGGCGGCGGGCCGTGGCCGCCGCCACCCGCTCCACCGCTTTCAGCCAGCCCGTCTCGGCCATCTCGATCACCCGGTCGGCTTCGTCGATCACCAGGTAGCGCAGGTGCGGTAGCGAGAAGCCCTCGGCGCTGGTTATGTGATCCATCAGCCAGCCGGGAGTGCTCACCACGATCAGCCAGGGAGGCCGGGCCGCGCGGCCCCACCGCCACCAGTTGGCGCCCCCTCGTGCCACTGTGTCTCCACCCAGCAGCTGGACGCAGAGCGGCGTGTCGGCGTCGTACTGGCGGAACACGGCGGGCACCGAGCGGCCGGCCGGCGCCGAGACTCAGAGGTCGGCCGGTGGCAGTGGCGACTCTGCGCCTGCGGCCGCCAGCAGCTCGGGCAGCACGGTCACCTGCACCAGGAACACCTGTTCGATGCCCTCGGCGGCCAGCCGGGCGCGCAGCTCGGGGCAGAGCGCCGGCAGATTGGCCGGCGCCGGTCGCCGGTCGCCAATCGACTGCAGGTGCGCCAGCCAGTCGGGCAGCGCACGCGGTGCACGGTCTGTCGGCTCGGGCGCTCCACCTCGTCCAGCACGGTGAAGTCGTCAGCGGCGGCGTCTCCGTCCGACTCGGAGGTATCCTCACTGTCGTTATTGGCGACGGCGGCTGCCGCTGTGCGCTCAGTCAGGTCGGCCATCACAGCAACACTCGCCGATGATTGGCGTCATCGAAACCGTCGGACGATGGTGGATTCATCACCGTTTTTGCAGCAAAGACTGGAAAAACCTCAGCAAAAAACAAGGAAAACCTTACAACATGCCACAGCCTGCAATTGTGCATATTGTTATTATATTTCTCACATAACAGAAAATATTGGCTGCTTTATTCTAGGAACTGGCATGAAAAACATAAGCTAAAATCAAGCTAAGTGAATTATTATTGTATTTCAACATGAGACTGGGAAAAAATCCTTGTCACTGTCAACATGCCCAGTGTAACGGATGGGCTGCATGAACATTTCGGCGCATGATCTGAAAACTCTGTGAGCAGAAATTTCAGCGCTGAGGTGAACAAATAACATTTCGGCCGCAATTTGCCTGGTGCCTCCACAATTTTGCAAAACTAACTCACAATACTTAAAGCCAGTTTTAACATGATCCCTGCATGACTCATGCATGCAAGATACACATGCATTCAATATCAGCACAGTGCACACACAACAGTTATGGATTCATTTACATTTTACAACATTACTATTATTTTCTTTTCCTTCAATATTGGCAGCATGACTTGCTGAGCTCAGTGGCACAATCTTATGACAGCAAGTTTGTTTGGGTTCTCAACCATGCAAACTTTGCATGTTTGGCTTCAAAAACAAGCCTTTATACATTTCTTTCATGCTATTCAATTTCTTTTTTTAAATTTACTGTCATTGATCTTGAAAATCTTGCCATTTTGGTCTTAGCCATGTCAATTGCACCTTCCCTATTCCGCACAGCTCAAGTAAGTTCCACCCAAAAGTAGTAGTGGTATCAGTAGTTGGCGCCCTGCATTGTCAAATGTAGCTGAATATGTGAAAACAGTGACATATTTATTTAAAATCTTGAGTCCAATGAGCCTACCCTCTCAGCCTCTCCTTCCAGCATTTGTTCAAGCACCTTCAATTTTCGAAAATGATCTTCCATCATTATTTTCCACTTCCGTGCGACTCGCACGAGCAATGAACTTGTAAGCTGACCACTAGTTAATAATGTGCTATCATCTTGCTGTTGGGTGCTTGTAGCAAAAAGATAATATAAACGAAAAAACTAACACCACAACACCAAACACCAGTCTAGTTGGTTCCTTTTGGTCCTGCCTGGTGACAAAGGCTCTTTCTTTACGCAATATCATCAGTATTCCTCTTCTAATCTTGAAGCCCAGATGCTTTACAAATTGGCCATGAATGATACTAAATTATTATATCAACTGGGAAGCGCAAATCACGATAATTAGTAACAAATGAGGCCAATTGTTCCAACACGACATCAAAAAAATAGACGGGGTCCCCCGTCTATTTTTTGGGCTGTTTTTCTACAAATAATGGCGCAAAATAACACTCCATTAATGCCGCATTTGCCGTTGGTGAAACTCGTTGGCTATTTTTCTGGCTGATATTTTTTCACGCCGGCGGATATTTTTCGCCTGGTTGGTGAAACTCGTCGGCTGGTTTTTGACAGAAAAATTGCGCCGGGCTGCTATTTTTCTGTTGGTAAAACTGGCCTCAGGTCTCCAAAAGTTTCAATGGTAAAATTTTCCCGCTTTTGGCATACCGGGACTTCGGTAACTGGGTTTAGGAATAAAGGTTTGTTGACTTATCTTGCATGTATGTCTGTCATCTGTTGTGCATTGCGGTCCAGAGGAGATTTCAAAGAGACGAGTTCTATTTGGGAGCGGGACAAATCACATTGTGGCCGCCCCAAGGACTGTCTTTGGCCCGGTGTCCCCTTCCCCTTGGATCCGCCAGTGGCTAGCACAGGTAGTAAGTATACATACAGCTGATACTGACGAGTGTTGTGTTGGGTCTCTCTTCAGGTGGAGATATGATTCTGGCCGACGGGGTCTCGGAGAAAGAGTCAGAAATGGTAACCGAGCTCAGGGAGGGCAAAATCAACGCCACATTCATCGACGGAAACGGACGAGTGCTCCCAACATGCGTCCGCTGCTCGTGACGTCGACATCATGACATCCTTGCTATTTATGAATACTTAGGTATCTTCTATGACGTACGTACACATTTACTGCCGTGAAAAGTTATTTTTGTGTATCACATGTTTTAGCTATGACGTTTTTATCAACTGTTGGTTTTACTAGAGTACGCAATAAATGTAGGTACTAAGGTAACGTCGTCGTTGTTAGGTCGTCGCGTCGATCACCGATGCATCCAACTTGTAGATGGCGGCCCAATCTTTGCGCGCTGGGCCAGGTAGGTGGCGCGGCCGTTTCTCAGACCCACGGTCAGCGATATGCTGTCGCCAGTAACCACTGCCAGTGCCGGTCAGCTGAGGCTGGGGATCGCTACGCATATCATAATCAGTGGGCTGAGTAGTCACGGGTGGCTGGTTTCCATTGGGCTCTGCCAGGTTCTGTTGTGCGTCTTGATACGAGCCCTGGCGCCAGGTGCACGCACTGAACCAAGTGAAATTTGTCGGGGGTGTTTCCACTAACAAGGTCGTGGTACTGATGGTCTCAAGGTAAGGATTCCAGCGATCAGAAGTTTGGATGCGGCCTGAATACCCCGGCTGTCAGACCAGCAGCTGTCCGGTGGCAGAGCGACAGAACCGGCAGCTGTCAGCTGTCAGAGCTGTCAGATCGTCCAGTCAGACCCGGACCGAGCTCTCTCCGCTCCACTCTAGTGGGAGCGAGGATGACGGCCATATAGCATCTATACTTCTGGGCGCTGACTGAAACCTTAATCCTGACACCAAAAGTGCTTTTTGCGCTGGAGAAGAATTCTGAAACGCTCAAGCTGTTATGTAAAGAAAGATTGCAAGCGTAACATTTAGAATCGATATAGGTACAGTCCACAGCAGAAGTAATGTGGGGTTTCAGTCATGGGTAATGGGTATGTTCTGCTTCTGAAGCTTAGGAACGATTAGCCAGACAACAATGAAACTTTGAATGTAGCTTATATGTATCGTCACCCTTGCAGCTGCAACTTTAGCTATTGACATCTTCTTTTCGATCACTCCGCATTAACCCTATTAGTGGCAGGCTCCTGGCTACCCCCTATTAGTGGCAGGGGGGGCTGTTTACGACCCCCCCCCCTGATATCTCGAGATCTAACGGGCCGATTTTCAAAATTCAAACGGCATTCGATTTCGCTCAACGAGATCTACATTTCTTAAAAAAATAAAATTAAAAAATGTCAATAGGGGGGTAGAGGGGGTAAAAACGGGCAAGATACATTTTAGACTGTTTATCACGGCCAGGTTTCTGAACCAATCTTAACGCAACTTTTGCCGATCGATAGAGAATGAACCAGGAATTCACATGGATCCTAAAAATATGCATTTTCAAAAATCATAGGCGGATACAGATCACTGAGATTGGGGGTACACAAAAAGTATAGTAAATAAGGTTTTTGTTGGTACTGTTTCTAAAAAGGGTGGCAATGGTCTTGTTAGGTATGTTACAATTTTCTTATGAGAGAACGACTAAAATTGTATTGGTCATGCATAGGCGGTGTCAGGGCACCTATGTTGGGAGGTAAAGAATAACCCCCTTTTGGACGCCTGGATCCGCCTATTATAGCAAAAACGTGTCAAAAGAGGATGCACAATAACTTTGTATATGTTATCACATGATACCTTTCATTCACTGTTCGTAAAACTGGTGCAGCATCGTGATCTTCGCCCAAATGACTCGCTTCACGAATAGGACCCCCCAATTCCCAGTGCTCTGGAGCCGCCCCTGGTAAAGTTATGAACTTGAAATTTTCAGGGAATGTGCCCAATTTAGTTTTAGGAAAAGTCAGACAATTTCAGCATCGTAGCTTCAGCGGTTTCGGAGATATTCCCGAAAAACCTGAGGGGTGGATAAAAACAACCCCCCCCCCCCCTGCCACTAATAGGGTTAAACAATCGCCAGTCAAAGCCAACCGTTGAGATTGGTAAAACCCTACATTACTTTAGCGGTGGGCTGTACGTAGTTCATATGTATGTATGTACTATGTACCTAGAAGTGTTTGGTGAACTTGCGTGCATGGCTTAGCTTTTGTCCTGTGCAAGAGCCACATTATAAGGAGAAGTACTAACAGTAACGGCGACTATTTTTTAATTATTATGTTAATTTATTTTATTTTATTTTGTTTTAATTCTATTTAATTTTATTTAATCTACAACTGACTTACATACTTTACCGAAGTACTTACAATGGACTTGTTGTGGGGCGCTCCATGTTATGCGAATAAATACATAAAATTAACTCTATTGTTGGCAATTGGCGCACTTTTGATGTTTTCATAGGTAAGTATTCTATATACGCCTTTGTATTGTATATAGTAGCCTTGACTTCTGACCCAAACCTAATGATAACTTGTTGTAGCCAGTGAAATGTGTTTTTTTAAATACAGTATTGATACTGTACATATTCATTCTCACCTCACACACATGCGCGGTGAGTTTTTAACCATCCATCCTTAACCCGCGCCCCGTAGGGCTACCGGCGGACCCTACCACCCGTAGGGGGGGCCGTTTCGGCCCCCCCCCTAAGATCTCGGAAAGTTACCGGCCGATTTTCAAAATTCAAACGGCGTTCGATAGCCCCACCCGGGAACTACCTTGTGACCGAATTTCATTGACCTAGGTCAAACCGATGACGTCACAGGTCAGGTCAAAGGTCAGATTTTCACCGTTCACAGGCATTTCAAGAAATGTGTTGTGAAATCGAGTTAATTGGTAATTTATTGAAAACCATCGATGGTACATTGTTCGTCAAACACATACTTTGCTATCTGAGGTCACTGATACCAGGTCAGGTCACAGCGAGGTCAGGTCACCGGGGTCACAATATGAAAGTGTCGTGTGATACATGTTTTATGGTCCATTTTACATGACAAATGCGATTATGTGGGTTAGGCAGCCATTGGGGCCAGCCGAGGTCACGTTTTGGTGAAGGTCAGGTCAAGGTCAGGTCAAATAAGGTCAAATTTCAAAGTTGATATTTTTGCATAAAATGGGTATCGATTCGATGCAGCTCGTCACGGGGAGTCTAATGGTGGTCTTTGTTTTGCTCTACGAGGTCTAGAACTGCCAAAAATTGAGTTTGAAAATTTGACGTCATCAATTTTGAACAGTTTTTTTCGCTATAACTTGGCCAAAAAACGAGGTATCGATCTGAAATTCGGTATGTAGATAGAAGACGGTAGGTACTATCACATATATTCCGGTTTTTTTGAAACTCAAAAAACGTTTTGGATTTTTTGGCTAATATATCCAAAAAAAATGCTTTTTTTATTTTTGGGGTTCAAAACTCAAAAATTTCAAAAATCCGAGATAGCAGTTTTGTAGCCCTGTCAATTTTACACCTTTTATGTCTTGATCATTTTTCTGTGTCTTCAAAGCTGTAGGCCTGACAGGTCTTCTCGCGAAGGTCTTTTTTCGGTCGAAAATGACAGAACATGACGTCATTCTGACGTCATTTGTGGCCAACCTATCATAGCCTCTGGAAAAATTTTTGGTCATAATGTGTAAAATTGATGCCCGGAGGGGTCCTGAAAGTTTGGTGGCGATATCTGAATTGGTTTAGGAGATATCGACCAAAAAGGACAGGGGGGGGCCGTTTCGGCCCCCCCCCCCTACGGGGCGCGGGTTAACCTGAGGTATCAATCCAAAAGCAAGCATTTTACATACGTTTTTTATCACACTTTAAAACTTTATAATTGATATAATGCAGGTTACAGCATCTTATATTTTTTCTTTAACCCGCGCACCGACGGGGGTCTGCGCCAACTTCGCACCGACGGGGGGGGCGGATGACCACCCCCCCCCCCCTGAGATCTCGAGAACGAAGCAAGATAGCGACAAGCGGTAAACGGCATCGGATATGCACGGTCATTCGATGCGTCTTGACGAGCTGAACACAATGATACCATCCACGCGGCTGTATCTTGTTCCTGTACGGAGTTATTGGCCAAAAACCTTTGGTGACCTTTGATGAGGTCACATGACCTCACAGCTGCCCAACAGCAAAACAGACCTCAAGGTAGTGAAGGTTGATCGTATATGAAGTCATGTATGGTATATGGGGCCATTCCGACCCGTTTTAGTGGTAAAAATAGGGAGTTGATTTTTCCCCCATTGACTTATAATGGGGAGGTCGCGAAATTGACCTGACCTTAGGTCACCGATATCAAAATTCCGAGATGTACAAATTGTAGCTACTAATGACCTTATAACATCCTGCGACTTTCAAAGGCCTCCGACATCTACTGTAGCTCTGGCACGGTGACAAAGTTGCAAAAAAGTGACTTGAGGTTGGGTCATTCAAAGTGACCTGGTGACCTGACCTTAAAAAGTAGGAGGTTCAAACTTGCACACCATGTGTAAAATTGATGAGGGAATAGTCGTACCAAATTTTGCGGCGCTACGCGCCGCGGTTTTCCCGCTATTCGCGAAAAACCTCAGGGGGGGTGCGGATATCCGCCCCCCCCCCGTCGGTGCGCGGGTTAAATCAGTAGGTGCAATTTATTGTTAGAAGAAGTTGTTGACCACGTCTAAAGGGGTTCGATGCTCATTTTCATTCCACTAGAAGCCTTAGTTGAAATTCTCGAAGCCTTCGAACTCGACTCCCTTAAAGACTTTGAAGTGGAAATGAGGCTCAAGATGGAAAACAAGTTTGGCGCGCGTTGGCTATTTGATGTTTGATGTCTCAGATCAACTAACATGTAGTGAGATTCCAATGCCACTAAAGAAGAATGTGGGCCGTATGGTTTTGGCGTGCTGCACTTATGAAGTGTATTGCATTCTTCTGAACCCTTGTGCGTGACTGTTCATTGTATATCACGTGACTGAGATGCATTTGACTTCCAAGTGACTTCAAGTGACTCGTCGATGTTTAATTATCAAATTTCATGTGCTCACATTTGTATGGCTCTGTTTTTACCGGCTTAGGTAGCTTGTTCTATGTGTTCCCTACATGCACGCCAGTCACCACTACTCATTCACTAATGACCATTCCAATCGCGAATGCTCAATGATCAACGGTCATATCCCTAACTATTTTATAATTCATCTTAAACCCACTGATGTTTTACATGCCTGCGACTCGAGACCGATCGTAAGTAGACTCGCCGCATAAACCGTCCTCGCCGTATCGGTGCTTACCCTCTGACTTAGTCGGTAGATACATCCTATACCTACTGTTCCATCGAACAGTCCACGTCTCTAACCCAGGCCCTGAGATTGTGAGGGCAGCGGGCGGCTTGTAATCAAGCACCGATGGCTGTCCGGGCACGGGCAAAGTCAATATGTGGCCAGCGGGACCAACGAGCGCCGGCTCCTGTTACCTCCCCCTCCTCCCGCTCCACAGAGTGGGGAGGGGTAGGATCAAAGATCACGATCGAGTTTGGTACATATAGAACACGCCATTGATCTAACAATGATGACGACTCTGCCTAACACACAGTCTCAAGTTCATTCTCTATATTGACGATCGTTTTCACGGCAAATTTATTATGACGAGACTGAGAACACCACAGCGCATACAGTTAACTGGTTTTATAACCTGTTGCTACGAGTGACATAAGTCATATATCAGATGAAACAATTTTTGACGCTGATGACTGGATACTTGCGTGACTTTTTCTCTTACCAAATTAGGCGAAACATGAAAACCAAATGAAAAAAGATGAACCGCTATGGTAAAACTTGTGTTTTACAGACAAAAAATATTCTCACAATGTCAGCTTTGTCCAAGTAAACTACAGCAATCATGAGTCCGGCAGTGGCATTCGATTCTAAACACGCCACCTTTGGCGCCTGTCGTTCCTCTCTCCAAGTTTTCGGTCGGTGTAATGCAGGATCAACACTGTTCGGCCACCGTGGGTCGGCCCCGACTCCAAATTACAGTCGTAACGTACCCGGAGCTGATCCCGGGTAATAACGCCGCACTGTGGGTTGTGGAGGGTGGCCACGCTTCGAGAAAAGTCCCGACCAAAACTTTTCAACCTGTGCGCTCTGTGAGGTCAACTTGTGCCCACCATAGTGGGCTGGGTTGGCATCTATGCTTTGGAAACGCATTATTAGCTTTTTTATTATTCCACTCTTTTGTAAGATTATCCACAAAATGACGTTGGAAAAATAACTGTTTGGCTATTGCAGTCGTTATGCATCAGAGGCTGCAGTTATTTTCAGTGCAAGCCGCAAGGGTTCATTGCTTGACAAGCTTATCTGTTCGCCTAGTTTGGTCCGCCACTCAGAGACACAAATGCGTCCGTTTCGGTGTGGCTATGAATCACCACAGGCCGGCGGTGCTGTCAATACCACCTGCTCTGGAGAATGGTTGAGCCCGTGCCAAGCTCCAGTGGAGGAGGCGTCCCGCCCTCCAGTCCGCCTCTCGGCAATATCCCGCTACAAGACGGTCACGCCAGGACGAGCTCGTGGCAAACACTCCGGGTGGGCGCCACAACTCGAGAAAAATAGTACCACGGCGCCAGGTGTGGCGCTAGGCCATCGAAAACTCCAGCCAGAGCTCTGTGATATCCCAGCGATCACGTCCATTGAGTAGATTTCGATTAGGGAATCAAAGCGTCAATTCTAAGAGGGATGATGGTTGGCGCTCTTAGGAAGAGTGGGATGAGACACAGGGGTAAGAGGAAGAGAGGT